TAGATAGATAGATAGATAGATAGATAGATAGATAGATAGATAGATAGATAGATAGATAGATAGATAGATAGATAGATAGATAGATAGATAGCATTTATTGTCACTGAACAGAATTCAACGAAATTTCCATTGCAGCTCCCGTGCAAAATGAGATGTGTATTATGTTTTATGTGAGAGTCCTGCTTTGGAAGAAATGAGACATTACACTTTTCAGACAACTTTTTGTACATGTTTTGCATAGTAAAATGTATGCTGAAGCTTGTAACACCCTATAAATTTCTGTAACTTTTTGTCAAAAAATTTTGTAATTACACAATATATACATTTCATGGTTAATGTCCATCAATAAAAAACCTTAATTAATTTTAAGAGAATATGAACAAATCTGACTTAAAATGGAAAAAATGTCCTTCCTTCTAGATTTCTAGTGATTGTCCAAATATCCCGTTTCAAGATGCTTTCTAGATGCTGTTTTGACATGATTCCTTAAACTCAATAATTTATAATCAGCACTGAATGTTTGAAATATAGTAAAAATTTCCAGAAGCTGTGAGATATCCTTTAGCTCCTCACACCTAAGACACCATATCTGAGAATGTGCTGATTGACCGCTATTTATGCTTTTGTTTCATCATGTACATGAATTTAGAAAAAACAGCATAAAAAAAGACACAGGGAGCATCCCACTGCATGCTGGACAGGTGCCTCTTAAACTGTGCGCATGTTGAGAGCAAGCAGTGAGAGTTTCATTGTCCTGGAAGCGTAGACTGATAATTAAGGGCACCACATATTCTTGTTGATGTTGGATTATTCATTCATGCATCTTTGGGATTTATTTATACATTTGCAGAACTTTTATTAAAGGACACTCGCATTTTGTTAAACATATTTATCCAAAAACAGCTTTTAAATGTAGTAATTATCATTAATGGAAAATTAAGAGTGTGCCAGAACAGCTGATTTTCAGTAAAGATGCTCATCCAGTGTTCAGCAGGCTGAGGTAATTTATGATTGCAATTAAAGATGAGATGCTACAAGACCCCAAAACGAAATAAAAATTAGATGAATGAATAGGGAACTATTAATTTTTTCAAAGAATATATTCAATTTAGCATAGCAAGTAAAAATATCTGTTCGCCATTTCTCTATATGTCGAGTGTAAAAAAACAGTGGTTTCTCAATGTCATAGATGGATTTAATCTGAGAAATGAATGACACGTGGATTCAAAATGAAACAGAAAAATTGTTATTTGTCTAATAGATTCACAGTTTGTTTGGATTTTATTTTATGTGCTCAACAGATTTTTTTGTGCACTGAGAATGCACGAGCAATGCGCAACCATGCAATTTAGAGGGGACACTGCATGTGGAGGCGCATTTATGTTCAAGGAAAGTCAGCTTTAATTACAACTCTTCAAATTAATTTTCAGTTCCTCCTGCTTTTCAAATTTTACCTGGTGCTGTAGTTGCACATATATAATGTCTAC